TATTGAATTAACTAATTCATTTCCTTTTGACTTTTGTTGGATTTTTGGATATTTTTTTGGTGTTGATTTGGCATTATTCAACAAGAATAAAAGAAAATTTTCGATAAATTCCTTTTTTTTTAATTATGAGAACCAATCCTATCGGCGCTCTAACAAAAATACTTGTATGCACCAAAAACCTCGGGTTCCGTGGGGTAAATCCATTAAAAAAGGAGAAATTTTAGCGGAGGGGGCTGCTACGGTTGGTGGGGAACTTGCTTTAGGAAAAAACGTATTAGTAGCTTATATGCCATGGGAAGAGAAGTATGCTCATTATAAAGAATAGACTTCTCATGCCCCAATGATGACACATCCTCTGAACTCTAATATGTCTAAGTAACACACTCATCAATCACATCAATGGTGAAACACAGGTCTGGACAGTGAGACGGGGCATGGCATACCTTCCCAAAAGCATACGGGATCCTATCTTTGAAAAAGCAAAGCGTCGGCTAGTTCTATTCTAACCTGACTGACTTCCTCACCACCACCGCTTACGGCTATTTCACGCTTATTTCATTCGTAGGGCCAAAAGTGGCATACCCTCTGAGTTGTGAGTAAGCGGAACCATTCTGTTTTTGTTTTTCTCCAGATTCTGACCGGTAGTAATTTGCCTATGATTTTTCCAACTGATATGTCGATAGTGGGATGTAGGCTTAAGTTGTTTTGGTAATTTTTCACAGCTGTCGCGATATAAATAACTATACTCATCCGAGTCGCAGGAACATGTACATACGAAATACGAGAATTTCCACCTTGTATATATACGTGTGTCTGTCTCTCTCTCTCTATATATATATATATATGAATGTGGTAAACGCTAGAAAGTCTTACAATATGAAACGGACGGAGCGACATTTGCACTGGCTATTTATTATTGTATACTTTATGCATATTTTTTTAAGTATTAATAATAAAATATTTCACTTGATTAATATATAATTCAAGAAGTGTATATTTTATAATATGTTTATTTGCTTTTTGGGTGAATACAGTCTATTTTTGGTTTTTTAAGAAATACGTAATATATGCTGTATATATCTATTTTTTTCAAAAAAGTATGGTAGATATATGAGTACCCTTAAATTTGTATTTGGGATTTTTTTTATCAGAAATGAAGCATATGCACATATGGATATAATCATCTAAAACTTTGCAGGGTGTTTTGATCGATACGAAAATACTAAGGTAGACAAAAAGGATTCAAAACACGTATCTGATGTTAAACATGGCATGGATCGAATTTTGGTAGTTTTATAATGGCACTGTTTAATTTAGACAAATTATAATAAAATTCTTTAAAACGGATAAATTTATATTAGTATAGATCGAATTAAGTTTTATTATTTTCTATTATTTTAGGATAGGAAAATATTCACAGGGTGTATTCTTGACTGATACGTTAAGCAGGTACGGGGAATTTAACTATTTGCTGGCCACTTTTAGGTGTGACACTTATCTAAATACCCCTATTAGATTTGCACTTAATAATTTACCATTTGATAGAGATGATTTGTTAACTATTTGCTACTTTTGCCTATGTAATGTGCCATCGTGGCGTGCCCGCGTGCAACGTGGACCCCACCCCATCAGCCCTTCACCTGTCCTCTTCCTCTCCGGCCTCCGACGAGGTGAACAAGGGCCCGATCCATCATGGCGGCGACGGCACACTGCATCATCCTAGTCGCCGCCTCCCTCGTTGCGGCGCCGCGCGTTCGCTCAAAGCCAAGGAAGGCGCGGGGGAGGTCAACACCAACGCCATCGTCGACCTCAACGCCACCAACTTCAACACCTTCCTCAATGCCTCGCCCGAGCCGTGGCCGTTGTCTACGCTGACTCTCCACTGCCACCGCCAAGAGGAGGGCTGCCGCCACTGAACAGAGGGCCACTGGAGTAGAGCCGATGAGTGCGGGCACGGCGAGTCCCAAGCTGACGGTCGCGGGGCCGACAGGCGCTGAGCCAAAGGGTGAGGGGCCAGCGAGCGCATGAGCCAATGGGCACAGGGTCAGTGGGGGTCGCGGGGCCGATGCGGAGCTGACAGAAGCAGGGCGAGCGGTTGCCGAGCCGACGAGCACATCGACAAAGCGGGAACGGCGGGTGTCGATGGCGCGGGCCTTGACGGAGATGCAGCCACCCTTTCCTCGTTCACCTCGGACACCACTGTTGACGGCGCCGCATCGCTGGCCTGCTTCCAGCGGCCGAGATCTGAAGGAGGCTGTAGAGGGAGAAGAAGGAAAGGGGAGGGGCTGACGGGTGGGATCCACATTGCTTTCCACACGGGCATGCTACATAGATAAAAGTGACAAATAGTTAAAAAATTATCTCTCTCCAGTAGCAAATTATTAAGCGTGAATCTAAAATGGACATTTGTATAACTGTTTACCAACATGTACGGTTTGCGAGTTGGGACGCAATGTGGCCAGAATACCAGACCAAATAAGTGAGGAGCTGTTTGGTTTACATGGACTTATTTCAAGTCCCTGTCTCATCGGATGTTTGGACACTAATTTAGAGTATTAAACATACATTAATTACAAAACCCATTTCATAAGTTTGGATTAATTCGCGAGACGAATCTTTTGAGTCTAATTACGCCATGATTTTGACAATGTGATGCTACAGTAAACTTTTGATAATTATGGATTAACTAGGCTTAAAAAAATCGTCTCGCGGATTAGCTCTCATTTATAAAATTAGTTTTTTATTAGTCTATATTTAATACTCTAAATTAGCGTCCAAACATCCGATGTGACATGGGCTAAAAAGTTTTAGCCCCATCTAAACACCCCCTGAATCGTTTGATTCTAGGGTTGTGTTTAGTTCCTTATAAAGTTAGAAGTTTGGGTTAAAATTGGTACGATGTGACTGAAAAGTTATGTATATGATAGATTGATGTGATGGAAAAAGTTAGAAGTTTGGATCCAGCCTAGGTAGCCGTCGGTCGTCCATCCGGAGTGGTGGGCGTCAGGCTAGCTTCGGCCAGCGGAGGGCATTTTGGCCGCCGCCGACGCTTCGGCCGGCGTATCAACGGCCTCGCGGTAAAAGAGGTGGCCCAATTCAATTTCGTCTTCTCAACTTTACTGAACAACTCCTCTCCACCCGTCCCAACTACTCTTCCTTTGTTTCTAACAACAATTTTCAAAGAAGAAATCAATTGAGAAATAACTAGAATTTCGTATTCTTCGTATGTTTTTGTTCAAGAGTTGGGATTGATCGAGTTGAGTTAAAATGAATGTTTGGTCTAAAGACATGTGAAATAAGATGATTTTTAACTCTTTAATTTTCTCTCTTGTTCACGTTTGAGCCATCCCTTAAAAGTAGAACCATCGTATCCCTCATGCCAAACGAATATACTAGCAGTATGGGTCTAACCCATCTCACTTTCTTCCTAAACCAAACATATATATATATGATTAGTTACGTCATTTTAAATATAAGACGTAACCTTTTTTTTATGTTTTATAATACGAGGCGTGCATATTTTTAATCTTATTGAATATATGTATTATATTTATTAGAGTGATCTAAGCGTGGAGGTAATAATAATTTTTTTTTTGTCTTTGCATTAGGTAGACTGATAGTCTGCTTATATTTTGTGATGAAGGCAGTATAATTCATTGGCTTAATTAGATTAAAGCAAGAATTGACACTATCCATTTTTGGAATTAAATTAGCAAGATACTTATTTAACATACTCCAAAATATGCACAACTTCAAATTTATTAATTATGAAGTTTTAAAATATTATAATCTGGAAAACTAAAGCGTAGGCTCGAAGTTTAGTACAACTATGTATATACTAATTTTGGATTCAAACTTTATTTTTTTTTCTATCAAAAGATTAAGACTCCACACCAAATACAACAAACTTTATAATTAAAATAATTTAAATAACTCATGAAATACAATAACTGCAAATGGAGTACAAATTTGTATTTATTATTAATTTGAGAAAACAACTAAACTTAAGATTTGATGAATTTATTACTAATTTGAGAAAACAACTAAAATTAAGATTTGATGAATACATTTTTTACTCGTTAATCATAAATTTCAGAACTGTTATATTATAGGAAACTACGTACTCTCTTGGTCCTAACAAATATTATTGTTAAACTCGGTTTTTGACTTGGTCCTAACAAATATTATTGTTAAACTCGGTTTTTGACTTCTAGTTTATTTTTTAATTTTGCGTCTATGTATTCTTATAATCTAAATATAATGTAAACTATTTAAGCTGAAATTAAGAAAATACAGCTACGAAGCTCCCCAAACATGCTCCGATGCCCGTAGTTTGCGTTGGCCGGTGAAGCAATTAAGGTGGAGTTTGGATACAGGGACTTTAACTTTAGTCTCTGTATTTGGATATTAATTTAAAGTATTAAATATAGACTACTTACAAAACTAATTACATAAATAAAAGCTAATTTGCGAGTCAAATTTTTTAAGCCTATTTAATATACAATTAGAGAATATTTAATGTAGCATTATATAGACTAATCATGGATTAATTAGGCTCAATAAATTTGTCTCGCGAATTAGTTTAAGATTATAGATGAGTTTTATTAATAGTCTACGTTTAATATTTATAATTAGTATCAAAACATCCGATATGATAGTTACTTAAAAAGTTTTAAAAAGGTATAAACACCTTGCATGGCATGCACTTCAACCTAAAATCGATGTCAATTTTACTTTTAAAAAAACTTGTACTAAAATCAAAGCAGCGCGGCGTGTCGCAGGGGCATCAGTAATAATCACCATCCCGCTCGTGCGCGCGCGTTCATACCGCATGCATTTGCATGCACACACACGCGTAGCACTAGTACTCTCTCTCTCTCTCTGTGTTGATAACCCCAATACAAATGCAGGGCTTCTCTCTCTACCTCTGCTATTTGCTGAGACTAGAAAGGAAGAGTCTATCTAGGGCTTGCTGCCCATAAAGACGACAAGAACCACCTCTCTCTCTCTCTCTCACTGTCCACATCTCTCCAACAAGAGAAATACTTTACACACTTGCAGCAACTCTTCCCCAGATGGCCTCCATCACCAACTGGCTCGGCTTCTCCTCCTCCTCCTTCTCCGGCGCCGGCGCCGACCCCGTCCTGCCCCACCCGCCGCTGCAAGGCAAGACCAGCCATCTCATGCACCGTGGCTCAAATCTTTTCCCTTTTCATCATCTTTTTTTCTCTGTATTTTGATTGATGGGAAAATTGATTGTGTTGATGTGCAGAGTGGGGGAGCGCTTATGAGGGCGGCGGCACGGTGGCGGCCGCCGGCGGGGAGGAGACGGCGGCGCCGAAGCTGGAGGACTTCCTCGGCATGCAGGTGCAGCAGGAGACGGCCGCCGCGGCGGCGGGGCACGGCCGTGGAGGCAGCTCGTCGGTCGTTGGGCTGTCCATGATCAAGAACTGGCTACGCAGCCAGCCGCCGCCCGCGGTGGTTGGGGGAGAAGACGCTATGATGGCGCTCGCGGTGTCGACGTCGGCGTCGCCGCCGGTGGACGCGACGGTGCCGGCCTGCATTTCGCCGGATGGGATGGGGTCGAAGGCGGCCGACGGCGGCGGCGCGGCCGAGGCGGCGGCGGCGGCGGCGGCGCAGAGGATGAAGGCGGCCATGGACACGTTCGGGCAGCGGACGTCCATCTACCGGGGTGTCACCAAGTAGGTCGTCTCTCACCATGCATCTTGGTCTTGCTGTTTTGTGCAGAAAATTAATTGATTAGATTAATCGTTTTGAGCTTTGTAGGGATTGCATTCTTGCTTGTAGTGTTTCTGGTGTGATTTCTTGGATTGCATGCACTTTAGTTAATTTGGATTGTGATCTTGGGTTGTTCCTCTTGTCGATTGATTCATCGGATTGCTCATTCGATTGGTTTTTCGATGCATTACTGTACTATTATATTTTTTTTCGTTGTGTTTTTTGCATTGTGATATAATAGTATTTGAGTTTTAATGCACACATAAGGTGTATATTACATGTTCTTCATTTCTTTCTAGTACGCATCGATTTAGCCCTGACATTTTATCATGAATTTTGCCGAACGTATGTATAGGTATATCATATAGGAGTATGATCGTACTGGGGTTTTTTATTTGATTTGTCATTAGTATTTTTTTTGCCCTATTATTTCACTGTTCATCACCAACTCTATCAGTATTATTGGAGTGACAACTGACAAGATTTTTTGTTTCTCCTTTTTTGTCTTTTGTATCTTTCCCCTTTGTTTACAACTGGCAAGTAATTGCCGCAGATATGCTCTAGCTGCTTATTATATTTGAAGAATATTAGAAAATCTGAGTTCTATAGCTCTAGCTTTTTCTTATTTCTACAGTACGTGTATGCTAGTAATTCATATATATAAGACTTTCGGCCTTATACAAAAGTTCAGTTGCTTGCTTGGATACTTATCTATTCTGAATTTTATCTCAGTAATATTTGCCTTTTCCTGAAACAGATAGTACGAGGCTTGTTTAGTTTCCCCAATATTCCTAACTTTCCATCACATTATATCACATTAAAAAATTTTCCACACACATAAATTTTTAACTTTTTTTTTCAAACTTTCAACTTTCTTCAAACTTTTAACTTTTATCAAGAACTTCTTTATGCTTTCATACTCTGCTACTACTCTCTCCGGTTCCATATTAATTAATATTTTAAACAAGGTTGAAGTCAAACTTTTATAACTTTGACTATCAATAACTTTAAAAATATTTAGTTTAAAGTAACTAGAACAACATATATAGATTTGTCTTTTAAAATACTATAATAAAAATAAACATGTATTTATTTATTTATTATATATATTATAATAGAAAAGTAAAATTAAAGATGTATCTTGTAGACGGTGTTATTGTCCAAAACGTAAAATTAAAAAGAATCGGAGGGAGAGCATATACGAGTTCTCCAGTTGGTGATATTCATTTATCGCGATCAACGATTTAACTAATACACGGGGCCTTTTTTTGTTTAATTGCGGGAGTTGTGCACCTTCATTTGATTTGACTGAACCATTAATGTCTTTCTTGTAAATTGTGTTTTAGCCTCATCATTGTATGCATGTCATATTTATCGGCTCAAGAAGACAAGAACCGCTGCTGTTCTCGTGTTTGACTGGATTAATTAACTGACTAGTATACGTTACCCACTCCAACTAGTACTGTAGTACACTACACTCCCTTTCTCTCAAAGAAACAAAAAAAACAAGTGCACTTCCATAATTTAAAATTTTAGTTAAAGGAGTGCATATATTTTAAGACGAAAGAAGTATTGTTTGTAGTAATATTTGCAAACCATTATACTTCAATAGATTACCAGTAGTTGCTTGTCAGTTGCTACTACTAGTGGTGCTATAGCTTTCATGTTTCCAATTTTCTGGTTAATCAATTTAGTTCTATGATGAATCAAACTGGCCAGGACATCGCATTAAATATCACATATTACTCGTTATTGCTAGTTGTAGTTATATACGGCCCTTATGTTAAATCAATAAAACCTTTTAAACCTAACTTTGTATCTTTTCTTCCTATTCATTAGGCACAGGTGGACAGGAAGGTATGAAGCCCATCTTTGGGATAACAGCTGCAGAAGAGAAGGTCAGACTCGCAAAGGCAGACAAGGTAAACATCCCCATATATATGCTTATTTTTCTACGAACAATTTGCTTCTAATTTGCTGCTTAATTAACTAATTACATTGTTTTCTGTTGTTGCATTGGTTAACTTGGGACTATTTTGTTTTGGATTCCACAGTATATCTTGGTAAGTATATATTTAAGTTTGTTTACGCAAATATATTCGTCATGTTTTCATTTGCGCGTAGTATGTGTAAATTAAATGAGTGGCATATATGCAATCAATGCAGGAGGATATGATAAGGAAGAAAAAGCTGCTAGGGCTTATGATTTGGCTGCCCTTAAATACTGGGGCACTACAACGACGACGAATTTTCCGGTACAAATAATTATTTCTTTCTTAAAATGCAATGCATGTCAACCTTTAATCATATATATAAATATACATGTTTATTAGTATATGATATATTGTCATTGCTGTTAATTAGGTAAGCAACTACGAAAAAGAGTTGGATGAAATGAAGCACATGAATAGGCAGGAATTTGTTGCATCCCTTAGAAGGTACGTGCAGTTACAAATTTATACAGAGTAGCATAATGGTTTCTACATTGGTTAAGCTTCACATAAGATAATTTAATGCAGAAAAAGCAGTGGATTTTCACGTGGTGCTTCCATATATCGTGGTGTTACAAGGTACATAGTTTTTTATTGGAGTCGTTTTCTTTTATCTTGTGCGATGTCTAATTTTTCCTGTTGTTATATTTGTCTTAAGAAAACTTTAGTTTAACAATTTATTAATTTAATATAATTTGTGTTGATCTGTTAATTTTCTAACTGTGCTCATTGAAACTTTTTTAAACTGTTGCACCAAATCTTACATTTGCAAGTGTTGACATCGAACTTTTAAGAATCCCGTGTCAATGAACTTCAAAGCCATTTTCTATATTATATTACATGCCGTTGCTTTGCTAATAGTGAATCAAATATGTGAAACAGACACCATCAGCATGGAAGGTGGCAAGCAAGGATAGGACGGGTGGCAGGAAACAAGGATCTGTATTTGGGCACATTTGGTAAGTCACAAACCTAATATTTTAAGCATCAACCAAATCCATCATCTCTAATGTCCTAAAAAAAGGAAGCAAGAATGAAAAGCACAAAGCAAGCTGCTGGAACATCTTTTCTTTTGTTTTCTTCACATACTCCCTCCATACTCGTAGGTCGTTTAGGACAATGTTTAAGTCAAACATTGGGAATATAAATTATGAATAACTCTCAAGTTGTTGAGTTTAAAAATGTAAAAATTATATGAATAGATTTGTCTTGAAAAATACTTTCATAAAAGTATACATATATCACTTTTCAATAAATATTTTTATATAAACAAGAAGTCAAAGTTGTGTTTTGGAGACCGTGTCGCTGTTCAAAACGACTTCCTTTACGAGTATGGATGGAGTATGTCTCACATCACTGATCACTCAGACCCTTAATTATGATTAAAAATCATTTCAAAGCTGATACTGAGATTAATTAACAAACCTTGCAGGCACCCAAGAGGAAGCTGCAGAGGCATATGATATCGCTGCAATCAAATTCCGTGGTCTCAATGCTGTGACAAACTTTGACATGAGCCGGTACGATGTCAAGAGCATCATTGAAAGCAGCAATCTCCCAATTGGTACTGGAACCACCCGGCGATTGAAGGACTCCTCTGATCACACTGATAATGTCATGGACATCAATGTCAATACCGAACCCAATAATGTGGTATCATCCCACTTCACCAATGGGGTTGGCAACTATGGTTCGCAGCATTATGGTTACAATGGATGGTCGCCAATTAGCATGCAGCCGATCCCCTCGCAGTACGCCAACGGCCAGCCCAGGGCATGGTTGAAACAAGAGCAGGACAGCTCTGTGGTTACAGCGGCGCAGAACCTGCACAATCTACATCATTTTAGTTCCTTGGGCTACACCCACAACTTCTTCCAGCAATCTGATGTTCCAGACGTCACAGGTTTCGTTGATGCGCCTTCGAGGTCCAGTGACTCATACTCCTTCAGGTACAATGGAACAAATGGCTTTCATGGTCTCCCGGGTGGAATCAGCTATGCTATGCCGGTTGCGACAGCGGTGGACCAAGGTCAGGGCATCCATGGCTATGGAGAAGATGGTGTGGCAGGCATTGACACCACACATGACCTGTATGGCAGCCGTAATGTGTACTACCTTTCCGAGGGTTCGCTTCTTGCCGATGTCGAAAAAGAAGGCGACTATGGCCAATCTGTGGGGGGCAACAGCTGGGTTTTGCCGACACCGTAGTCAGAGATGGTGGAGAAGGCTGACAATGTGACGGTTTGCCATGGGATGCCTCTGTTCTCAGTCTGGAATGATGCTTAGCTGGGTGGAGAATTAGCTATAGTAGTTACTGAAAAGGTGATATTAACAGTTGTTGGGCAGATTGATTAACTGGGGGATATATAGTAGTCATACAAAGTCTTGCATGCTTGCTGATTTTGTATTGCTTTCTTATCACCACCATGCATGCAATCTATAGTTTTGCCTTTAGCTAGAAATATTAGCTCTAAATATCTCATGGAGATATGAATTTTATGCTGATGTTACTTAGGGCTCTTGATTATATATATGAGCTGATAATTCAGCCATTATCATCTCTTGCTTTCTGAGCTAGGTGATGTATAAATTTTCGTATGGAAGAGGTTTATGTTGCAGTACTGTTGATAATTCAGTCAGCAGGTTAAATTAAAGCTAAGTGTAACTATTGTGCTGGATCGACTTTGTTTCTTTTTCAAGATTTTACAATGTTGCACTTCGCCTGATGAGTTTCCAGGTTTTATTATTAGCTATTTGCTCTTTGATGAGATTGAGAATAACAGTTGGGGACTTTGATCGAGCACTAGTAGTAGTTTTTCTTGAAACCGTAGGAATTTATGCTGGTCGCTGCTCCATTTGGAATGTGGAATAGTTTCAGGAATGAGCAACCTAGCTAATGGAGTTCAGTGAATGCACATACTATTTGAAGGAAAAAAAATCCTGTTTAATTAAACAGTTCCATTTGCTGTATATATATGTATAGCATGATGAAAATTTGAGTTCTTTTTTTGGGCTTGTCTTAAATTAGTTACATACTACTATACAGTTGACCTGTGAAATTCAGCAGCTAGAGCTAAATTGCTTGAATCTCCAATTGTTGTTAGGATATGCCAAATTAAGCATTGCATGCATGTGGTGTACTAGTGCTCATGCAAAGTCAAATTAAACCTACGCACGGTTGCTTCACCTGCAATGCACGGTGCATTGTCTTGATCCTTTCTCCGTGAACAATATAGTTATAGTTATCTAGCTGATGGTAATGTGTTCAGTTTGGACTGGTAAATTTCCCGAATTCACAGTCAAAGTTGTACGGTGTACCAGCTGGACGGTAATTCTAAAACAGGCCGGTCGTCTGTGCAGGTTACTGCTCAGTTGGTGTTTGTTTTATTCATACCAAGCACACCCATATATTACGGTTCTCAAAATGTTCTCGCGATACCTCATCAGAAGATTATTGTCATACATTGTATCCCCTGACGCAGCTGCTAGCTAGATACGCGCGTTCACAGCATATACATGTGTTGATTAATCAAAATAGATTCGCAATAGCTTTATGAAAATCAGATGGTTCACGATGCAAAGAATCCTGTGGTTGTCGCGTGTCGCGTTGTACCTTACTTCCTTTTTCGCTTAGCTCTGTTTTGGGGAAAACAACAACATAATAGCTGTCCCGATGAATGCAGTAGTTATGAAAACGAATTAACTGTTGGAAGCTTGATCGTGAAGATCATTTCTAAAAGTTTTAAATATTTATGAAAAAATTATTAGAGATAGGTGTAGATATAAAATACATTATCACCAAATCTTCCAAATTCAAACTCAACTTCGTTTTGCAAATTGATCACCAACTAACTTTTCCGTTTCTCTCCTGGAGCTGGCGATCACGGTCGTCATCGCAGCTTCTGCCATCACTGTTGCCGTCCGGCAATGGTGTCTACATGAGGAATTATGGAGGAAACGGCCGGCGTCGACGGCTCACCTTGGCCCTGGGCTGGGCTGCGTCCTCGCCTCGGTCCAGGTCACCGAATGAGTCCAAGAAAGAAAGGGATGCACAAGCTCGGTTCAAGTGCAAAACTGGTGGAGTTGGCGGCTTCTTCTGCGAATCGGCCAAAGGCTTATGTGCCTTCTAGGTTGCCAACGGGTATTAGAGACCCACTTCTCTAAGCGAAATTGCAACAAATATCGGTACAACTCTTTGTTTGGTGGAGAAAATGAGAAGAAGAAAAGGGATACAAGTTCTAAAAGGGTTCTAGAACTTGTGAAAAATCTATTTGTTGTATTTTGGTATTTTTCTGATCTATTACATTGACCCTTTCATAGAGTATATATAGGAGTACATAGGGGACAGAGACTTGGAATACAATACAAGTAAGAGTAGATTTATCTCTAGGATTCTATCTTTAGAACTCTATCTTATCTCTAAAATTATATCTCTAGGATATATCTTATCTCTATAATTTGTATTTGACTCTTATCTTTAACTAACATATTATACTTCTAACATTCCCCCTCAGTCGTAACGGGAGCTAAACGAACAATTGCGACTGGATTTGAAATATTCTATTTCTTCATCTTTTTCAAGTCACCATCATCGATTGCATCTCTAATGGACGGTCCTCCACTTGGTGCTTGCATCCACTTATGTGTCGTCCCTTGACTCTCCTCTATTCCCTCCCGCAGTCATAACGGAAGTGTCATGGACGATAGCGATGACACGGACGCTTTGACTGGAGTTTCCATCGATGATTTTTATTGTAGTCTTGTAGACGTTTGTCGATGTAGCCGATCATGAAGTAATAGATCAGAGAAATACTAAAATACAACAAATAGATTTTTCATATGGTATCAGAGCTATAGATCCTTGTTCCATCCATCATCTGTCCACGCTGCCCCGGGGAGACGAGATCAATTCATGTGCTCTCCCTGGGGCACCGCATTCATCGCGTAGCTTAGCTAGCTTTGACGGCCTATCATCTACAGAAGCAGCGCCTGAGCGGCTCGTTGACGAGTCCGCCGAGAAGCATCTCATCGGCCGCGCGCCAATTCCATTAATTAGCATTAGATTAGATTAGTTCCTTCATTAGCCACATAAAAGCGATCCTCTTGACCTGAAGAAGCAACTACAACCAGCATCAGATCAAAGCGCCAAGCCACCAAGCCATCCGCGTCGACCATCACACGTTTGTTATCATCCGCCGACACTGCATCACCAGTGATCTTCAAAACCACCAGTAATCCTCATCAACTTGCCGCCACCAACTTGTTCATATAGATGGACACCTCGCGTCCTCGGACAGATTAATCTGCAAGACGCTCCTCTACAACGGCAACGACCACATCAACATCATCTACGATGACAACGGCTGCATCAACATGGCATCACTATTATGATGACTGCTACACGACGCAGAAGGACCAACCAAAGTGGTGGCTTCATCGCCAACGACGTCCTCTGACATATGTAAGATGTCCTCAATAGCATCCTCTGACATCTATAAGGTGCAAGATGCTAACAATTGCAGTTTCGTCTTCACACCATGGCGTAAATTTTTTTTCGCCTTCGGCTATATGTGGCTACACCGACAACCACGGCTACTTCATGATCAGCTACATCAATAAACGTCTACAACAAAAATCATTGACGGAAACTCCAGTCAAAAGCGTCCGTGTCGTCGCTATCGTCTATGACACTCCCGCTATAACTGCGGGAGGGAATAGAGGAGAGTAAGGGACAACACAAAAGGGGACGCAGGCACCAGGTGGAGGACCGTCCATCTGTTGATGTAAAAACATGAGGCCTAGGAGATCTGCTTAACTCCAGTGCAGGTCCAAAAGCTTGCCTTTAAGTATATGAGCGTGCCAGTTGATTTGATCCTACAATCAACAAGAAACAAAGACAAAGAAACCGCGGTTAAATCCATAAACGATAGCCGATCGGCTAGTTGCCTATGGCATATCATTTATCCTCGAGCCAATGTCATATGTGGATCGATCGGCAGTCATGAATAAATAAGAAAGAACTAAATCTATTCGATCGGCTGTAGATATTAGCAATATATAATCCTTATGTCGATATATACTTACATCAAGTGATTGGGATAGATCGGTCACCATGCCGAGACAGTATAAATCACTTAGATCAAAATATATACTAACAATGAGACTATATATGTTCATAGCATAGCCGATCAGATAGATCTAGCATGTATCGGCTAATACTCCGATACCACTCTATATTAGGATATTAAAGCAAGTAGAATGTACCAAGCAAAAGCCTAATATACTTAAATGCAACAAGATCTTAATATAAAGGGCAGATTTAACATGTCAATCAAGTACATAAGATCAATGTAGTTAAATCATGTAAGATCGGCTGAAACCCCGATGTTATCCTAATCGGCAACCAAAGACATGCTAGAGATTGAGATTCTAATCACGACTCATAAGATCAAATTCAACTGATGCGGCTATAAGTATGAAAAGAAGGACTATATCTGGACAATCAAGCCGTTGGATGTTTCATAAGGTGGTAGATATCCTATATGATCTAAGTCAACGTCAATATATAACCTAATCGGCCGCCTTCTAGTGACGGACATTAGCCGATTGTAGGATAAATAGCGATATTGCCAGAGATTATATAAGATATATGATAACTCGACGAATTACATAAACAAGATTAGAGTATCATAAAGATGGAAGCACTAATCACAAGAACGCAAGCCGCCATAACAAGTTTTACCTCTCGTTGAAGATCGAAACCGATGCAGCTCGACCCGAAAGCAAGAACTCGTCGAAACAAAACAAAAGTAAAAGGGTGGCGATGCGCCGAGATTGTATTGAACGTGTGTTAGTTTGATTACATGGGGCTCGGGGTCTATTTATACCCGAGATTACAAAATATGTCCATATCGGACACGACTCTTATCTCTGACAAACTCTAAGATACCATAAGTCTTTGCGGCAGACTTTTGCCCAAACATATCTCTAAGGAAATTATATAAAATATCCTAATTAATACTCCCTCCGTCTACTTTTGATCATCATATTTCATCTTGGCACACAGACCAAGTATAAGTAATTCTACTTATCGTCCATTTAAACATGCTACTAGTTATTCCTCGTAAACAAGCGATTCATTAATATTTACATTTCTCGATGCCCATGCAGCCAATCTTGTGTGGAAGAATGGAGAGTGACGCATTAAATCCGAGAAAGCCATTAAGAGGATAGGTTGTTGGATTGAAATATGACTATCAAAAATAAAATTTTCAGATTTGGAAATAGGACTATCAAAAGTAGATGGAGGGCGTAGATACAATTGCCTTCTCATGACTCTATCCATGCGTGGCAATCCTCATGAAGCTTATTAACTCAACCCGACAACGTATGCCTTGTCATATTGTCGGATTTGGCTCGATCGGCTAACCCTGTCTAACTCGGACTCTGCCGATCCTGGTCGCAGCCGATTCGGACTTCAGTTGATCCTACTCTGTCTCCGGAGCGATCTCCATCTTGAATTCCACTTCGATTTCATCTCCATCTCCGATACTTGGAT